GATAACCAAATGAAATTCTGCATTTATATCCTTAGGGAGTGCAGGTGCTACTGAAATAATTTGAATTCCCTCGTCAATGCGAAATTATCCCGACACAGAGATTACTTTTAACAGCCCTCGTAACTCGTAATACTGTGCTTAAAAACTAATTCGACATGTGGAGTTTCCAGTGAATTATAGCGGCTACAAACGCAGTTTATAGGCAAAAAGAAGAATTCCCAAGCACATGGTTAGGAGCTGCGACGACTCAAACGGAAGAGCGGCAAAGAAGAAAATGTAAAAGAGAGAAGTCGAAGCAGAAACACACAGCCGTCGCTCGCAACTGGTTACTCGAAAAGGCTCCCTTTTTGCTCTCCGATGGATCCCACCCAAACTTGTAAGTGAGAATGAATTATGAATCGCCCACCTCCTACCATTCTCTCCAGGGAGCTTTCCACTCAGCTTCGTACTCGCTTAGCAGCTTTCAAGAGCGCATTTGAGCGTATAAAGATTTACTAGGCAAAGCACAACCCCGCGGTCGATATCAGGAGGAACACTTAGGAACTGAAAGGCGGTTTTTCAGCAACGGCTCTGGAAAATCCGAGAGCATCAGGAAGAGTACTGTAGAAAAGAAAGAGTAAGCCGAACTGAAGGAGTTTAATCCAAAATTGGCCTTTTCACAATTCAAAAAAATAAGAGTAAGAAATTTATGTTAACCGTGGTTTCTCCTTATTTGGAGAATCAAATCCCACTGTTACTCCTATAACATTGCTGTCCGATCAACAGTCAGAAGGGGAATAAAAAGGGATTCAGCTTACCATCAGTCAGCAGGTGTATATGTTCCTTGAGATTACTATTTACACAACTGACGAGGGATCGATGCGAGCCGCTGGGATGAGCTGTCAACGTGAGCCAGCGATGTTTTGAGCCCGACTAATTGAGAAGCTGCTGCTCGTCGCGCGTCAGCATATGTTGGCGATCTTAGTCATCCGTTCGTTAGATAGCTGTAGACTTTCGCACTATCGAAAGGATACGGCCATCTAATGAACATTCTGTGAGAACTACGGTATCACAAACAGGGCACAGGGTCATATATTTACCAATACAATCCGGGGGTCTGGAAGAGAAGAGCATCACCGTGTGCGAGCTTGGGAATTCTTTGCTTCCCATTAGTGGCATTTTTTCGCTTGTTTCGTGGCACTCAACGCCTAGTTCTGGCAGCCCGCGCAAAACTACTCCATTTCTCCGTAAGTTAGTCAAAAAGCGTCTACCCCCCTTGCACCTTCTCAACGGCAGGAATTAAAAGAAATCGGTAAGGTGTCCTCGCTGTAGAAGGGAGTCGCATCGGAGGAGAGGGGGAATGAGGACGTGTTAAAGAAAAATTTGCGAAGTTTGGCGACGGCTGCGGGGGGAGGGGACATTCGCTCTTTCGTTGCTTCACTAGTTCCGGTTCAGTACCATTCCGGTGAAGCCTGTGAACTTTTGTGAAGTTTGAGCAAGTTCGTCAAGCCATCATGGTGAAACCTGTAACTTCGAGAAGAGGCTGTCGAGATGGGTTCGACACGTCGATGAGAAGTGGCAACAGGTGCAAAATGCCCCTCCCCCGTCGAATACCCGCGAAAAATTTCCTCCATTACCAAGACGTGCTGCGAGAGAGGAGTAAGGTTGAGGAAAGTGAGAGGAAGAGTTGAACGAGTGATGTGACTCTCCGAGACAGGTTTTCGCATTGGAACAATATAAATGTGTACCATCAGTTTTTCGTTCGCAACAATGGATGAATCCCATGCGAACACAATGGGTTACAAGAAATATTACAACGGTTCCATTTGTTTGTCGAAATTTCCCGTCTTTTCCAGTGGAACCGATTCTGCACCACAGAATGCTGCAAAGCTTTTTCCAAGTCACCGTGGCAGGATAGGCCCCGAGGAACTTTTAGTGAAACCGACATGAGTATAAATAGCTCAGCAAGCACTTGATCGAATAGCCCAGGAAAAACGACGCTGATATGAAGTGCAGATTTCTGGCCTGCGAGACTGAGAGCAGAAAACAGAGGATGACGAACGGCCAACAGCCAGCAAAACCGCCAAGGGCTGTTATACCTCAGGTCAGCGGTATAAACTCTGCATACCCTTGCCCACTCATTTCCTAACCACGAAACAAGCACAAAATCTGCTCTTGTAACCGGTCCATCTTACTAGCAGAGACGCTTGAAAAGGCTGATGTACCAGGGAGACGGGCAAGAAAATCGCAATTATCGCTCCGCTGCGCGCGCCGATGAGCGCGGCGTTTCTTGACTCGTGTTAACCTGTCGATTGGAGCACCGGACTTCATGTAGACCCCGTCATCGTAGACATTCATGACTGTTTTCGGTTCTGAATTGCCTGTTGTCGCCATCTACTACCTGGAACCATCGTCATTTGCGGGCGCGACGTCGCACGCGACGCCCACAGCGCGGCGAAATTACGATTCTCTTGTCACATACCCGATATACCTAATCCAGTCCGTTACCGTTGAAAGACAGATGACGTGTCACTGACGTCACATAACACGTTCATGACGTGTCCTGAAACACCACTGAAAGTGATTCAGTATAAGTCCCTCGTCAAGGGCTCGAATACACGTTATCTCCCAGCCTTTAGCAGGTAGCGGACCTGGGCTGTACCCATGTCATTTCCATGAAAAACTTGAGAAATAGACCGTACCTTTCAGACCATATATAGTTAGGTAAGTTGTTACGATGAGTTCCTCCGCATGGACCGCAAAAAAGCATTGAAATCCTTCCATTCCACCATAGAAATCACCTCCAGTAGCAGTGGCACGTTGAATGCACGCCATCCCGCCTGAAATGGTAAAAATGGTAGCTCCGGCTAAGTGGAAAATTTACATATTTGCTGCTAATTCCACGGACTCTTTGGAAAGTAAGGAAGCATTGGAGGAGATCTGGAAGGTGAAACTAAGACTTTGATGGGGACGCATTCTCACATCCTCTCACATTAATGCAGATTCCTCAGCTAGCCAAAGCGAGCTATCCTTCCCAGCGACCTTTCTTGAGAAACTCCTCAACCATCACTGTGCTCCGGCAAAATGATAACTTCTACAAAATTGCTAGCCATGGACCGCTCACGGCTCGCCTTGGGCGTTCTGATTCATTCTGATCCCACCGCTCTCCCACAGCCAGCTCCGTACAGTCATTATCTCTGTTGAGGAGAGGGTGTGTGAAGGGGAATGGATTGAAACGCAGCCAGGGCATCTTTTTTCACCAATTGTTGTGGACTTACGATGATATCGTTTTCAACAAAGGCAGCCGTTGTGGGCGTGACTGCACTTCAGTCACGCCCACTCACATGAGCTCTTGCAAGGATAACGACTATATACTTGTCTGCCCTGTCCTACCTAACTAATGACCGTTCCCCCAAAGAGACTGGGCTTAAAAGGGTGAACACTTCGGGGGAATTTGTGAGGTTTATTTTATGGGCAGACGCCTTCTTTGGACATGGTAGTCCTGCCTACAGTTATGCAGGATGGTACCGCACTTTCGCAGCCTGAAAATACGTGAGAGAACGTGACCCGCTCGCGACGAGGCAGCGACTACCCCCAACTTCCATTTTTAACTGCTACCTGATGGTGGGGTTGGTCCGCTATTAGTTCTCTATATTTCGAATAGTAAGGTGATAAGGAGAAAGCGCTAATTCCAAGAAAGGGAACTCGTCCGACCACGCCCTCAGTTCGCCTCATGCACGTACAAGCGCGGTACAACCATGGGAGCCTTTCTGGTGGTTTTTTAAGCTCTTTTGTTCACTGCTGTGCTAATTATCATCCTGTCATTAGTAGTTGAGTCAGACAAGCAACCATTTTGAGCGCGGCAAGTGATTGATTTACATTTTAGAAGGGAAAAACTATCGAAATAACAATCTTTGAGGGATTGTAGATGTGATAGAGATGTCAGTTCGACCCACTGAATAAAGTTGCATTTGTAAGGAGGTACCATTTTGTGAAGGACTTCCATCCTTCTTCATGGGTACGAAGACACGTCTGAGATAGCTTTATTCATCGCATCATGGTAAAGGTAAATTAAAGTTATCATTGCATATTGTTATCATCAAAAGTAAAAGTAAGAAGTTATCATTGCACACGTAAAACGACAAATTAACGCAAGGATAAATACAACTGGAATGTGCTTCTTTTACGACGTCAGTGTAAGAATCATGGAAAAAAAAGTAACACCGGGCATATGAGACACCTGAGGGACTACTAGATGTGAAATCTACGAGAAGTAGACTATGAAAATAGAGTACGTCATACTGAGAGATGTAGTCTGTACGGCAAGGTTCGGGGACAATGTGAGCAAAGTAGATTTTGTACTCTTTCTCAATGGCACATTCCGCGATCAACTGATGGGCGGAGACTCTTAACAAAGGAGTTAAAAACTGTTATGTATCTTCAGTAGAGGGTTTTCCCCCATTGGCTCGCCCTCTCCCCAATGCGGAAGAAAGAAGGGGCGCGCCAGTGGGAGGGTGCAATAGTTGTAGGTCCCCGCCCACCAGTTATCGCGGAAATTCCTTTTCATCCAAGGAAGACAAGACATGGCTAATAAAGTTAAAAGTTTCTTAAGTATCTTAAAGAAGGTTTGGCAGCACAGTACTCGAAACCGGAAGACTAACTATAGGGAATAATACAGTGCGAGATAAGTTTCACCGAGCCTGTTGTTGAGTGCAGATGGGGTCTAATTTGAATGTGATTGTCTTGTCAACCCATTTGACGGGTTCTCCAATCTGTGGTGGTTCGGCCATACGATTTTCATAGAACGTGGCGTTGTCATCACGATCAACTATCAGAATACTATGAGATCTTGTGCCGAAGCGGTACATATCCAATGGAAACTTCATCATGATTGAACAGTAGTATCGATATCGTTCAAATGGTTCTTCAGTTTGAAGAGCAATCTGCGGATCGGGGCTGTATCTGAAATGTCAGTAGTAACTCAGCAGTTAGAACTTACAGAGTTCTCAATTTGTTCTGAATATCGAGGTTTGTAATAAGTCTTCTAAGTCTGGGAGAAGGGGGTGCCGCGGTTCCACTTTCATCGGGTAACGTTCAGCAGTTGGAGAACATTTTTGCGAAATACAGTCCCCCTGAGAATTCCGTCTACTGGTACGAATCCTCCTTCCGCACCCCACATCCTTCCTACGTTCTTCCTGAATTTTTCTAACTTCCTACCACTTTCGGGAGATTTTTTTCCAACATTTCTTCATTTTTCTCCCAGAAAACTACCGTCGAGCAGAGGTACGTAGCGCGCTTGAAACAAAAAACTGAAAACTTTTCGTAAAAACGAACATGTCCGCCTCCCTACAGCGACCAAATACGACCTCATCGGGGAACCTAGCGTACGACGTGCCCTGATTTTCACACTTGTGAGTTCTTACCCGAGCGGAGGTGGTGCTACGGCAAATGGCGCCTTTCTTCATGCGCACGAAATGGAAATAAAACCTCGAGCCAGTTCCTATCCAGGCCAATCAAATCTACTCCTCTTCGATCAACCTGGGCCACACCTGTCTGGAAGCATTACTTGCTCGATATCAGTCAAACCGACGTGCATGAGGTCTATGGGTTCACAATGCTGTTGCGATTCTATTGATTTTTCGCCCCTCAGTATTCATGGTCAACGCGAGATCTGAGCAAATTGACCAGAACTATAACTTGTGGATGGCTAATATTTGAGGAGTAGCTGTTTAGAGCTAGGGGATTACCCTAACAAGGCATGGGGAAAAATGCTTCTACGAAGTTTGACTGCACTACCTTAGGAGCCAAATCATCCCTCAGGTTGGAGGAAAAGCCTTCGTTCCTGTTATAGAAATCCCAGTGTTGGGTAGAGGAACCTCCAACTGCCCCTACAGCTATCAGCGCCCTAAAACATCATGACTACTCCTCTACTAACAAGATTATTCTACTTACTCTGTCTCGTCGGTACCGATTTCCATGAGCCCTGCGATCAGCTCTTCAACGCCGGTCTCTGGAGTTAACGAAGCAATGAACTTTTCAAAGATTTCCTGTCCCGCGACGACCTTACGAAACGGTTTATCAGGAGGGCTGTTGCCCCACACATATGTTCCCTGTAATGATCAAAACCTGCACAGGCGTAGTACACTCTCTAAGCATGTTGCAGTACCTGCAGGCCATTTTCTAGGCTCCACTGTGTCGACGAGCATGTTTGACAGAGATGTCATCTCATACAGGTCACATTTATTCCTGTAATAATTGCTCTAAATTGGTAGCTTCCAAAATGACGCCGCTTTAGCTGATCTGGTCATACCTTTGCAATCCTAAGAACTGGAATCCATTGTAGAGATGTGATTTTTCACAGAGTTCAGCGAAATAATCTTCAGTTGAGCGGCCGGATTCCAAAAAGTCCTTGGCGACCGCGCCTAAAAGCGAATCTCTGGACGTACGAATCGTATCCTCCTTCGTGGAAGAGATCCAAATTTCCAAAAAACAGAGGCAATGGGCACGATGGTGGGGGCGGGCGGCTCTGCCAACGTCATTGGTGGAAGAGCTGGAGAGGGCGTTTGGTCGCACCCCACTCAGCCCTTTACCAATTACGTTGACAGTGTCGCCCGCCCCCCGCCATCATCCCCACTGCCTTTAGAATAAATCCAGGCACCACACCTCGACTGGGGCCGTGATGATGCTTCTTTGCAGACATTGGCTGTGTAAGTGATAGCAAAATTCCAACACTTCCCGCAGAATTGGTTCCAAACCACGTGCCTCTCACTGGATCTTTGATGTCGATTCCTAAAAATTTATCATGTACAAGTGCGAAGTAGGCGGAGTCGTCTGGGGCGGAGTATGAGGTGTATCTATGTGATATAGCAGAAAAGCAAAAAAAATAATGCAAATAAAAAATTGCAACATAAAACGAGCGGAAAATATGTTCGCGTTGGAGAGGGGCGTGGGAGAGGCGGAGCTGGGCCATGGGGTCGGTGTGAGTTTTTATGAGAGGCATGGTCCGCGATAAGGAGCGTAGGTGTTGGCGGCGAAATGTGGTAGGGAAGGTGTCGAGGGACTCGTCCGTGATGAGAAAATGCTAAAGGGAACGGCGGAAAAGCCTTTAATATGACCCCTTCAGCCTCAAACAATTGCACGGGTGAAATGCCAAAAAAAACCGCTTGCTTGGGCGACTTCAGTTTGCCGACTCCTTGTAGTGAACCCTATGACCCCACAAGAGACAATGTAGCATCCATTTCGTGCTACTTGTCCGGTAGCATCGCTTTTGGCTGGAAGGCAGGCTTTGAAGGCGGAGCCTGGAGGCGGAGTCACTGGAAAAGGGAGGTACCACTGGAGCAATTTTGCAGCATAACTCCTACACCTTACAACTTTCGGCCGTAAAACTGGCACAGGGTTGTTCACTGCGGACCACACTACCTTCCCATAAGATCTTCTGCATTTTCATAGGTCATCGCGGACCGTTCCTTCAAATCAGAAAATTAGTGGCTTACCGCTGAGTACACCGTTCCTCCAGTCCAACTCCAGTGTTGGTCTGTCCAAAGATTCATCTCGATTGTTTAGTATTATCAGCTTATACCTTGACTCTGGATCATCACTAATGAATATGAAGCTCATACACATTGTACTATCTGGAAATGAAAACAAAAATTACACCGGTTTTATACGGCTGACGTTGCGGAGTTATTGCCTTCGTCAAAGCTGAGTACAAACTACAAACTACCCAATAATGGACTCTATTCACGGAGATGGGGAGGGCGTGGCTGTGGACATCATTTGAAAATGCGACGTGGGATTCGTAATTCACCCCTAAATTTATAAATCTTCCCAAAAAGGCAAATATCCTACAACAAGTCAGAGACCCTCTGCCATATTCAATTGAAGCACGCTAGGCGCGCGCCACTAACTCATTTTCGGCGATATGAGCTGTATAGTGACCATAACTCATAGTGATCCGAGTTCTCATTGAAATTCCCTACCAAAAGCGAACAGAACAGATTTAAAAAACCACATTACTCACTTTAAATGAAGTGTGGACTCATAAGTGTTTATGGACAGCTACAGTAGAGGAAAAACTATTCAGACCAACTAACCAACTCCCACATTCTAGTCTCATTGAGAGTCGAAGCAAAGCGCTGATGGATGAAAGAGATCCTGCAAAGATAAATTGCGCATCCCACGCTTAATTCGTGTGGGCGAGACAGACACTCGTTCTACTGCACCTGCTCCCTCTCTACCACAACCGTCAAAGGCCGAAACCAGTAGGCGGAGACACCAGCAGGTTGCTCCTTCGTCATTCTTATCGAGAATGTGCATCTTTAGTCAATAAATAGGGGTCCTTTTACCAACACCCGGCTAATGAGCAGTAAAATTGAAAATTGTGATGCTATAAGAGGACTCCGTTCTCCTGACAAGAAAATGAGTTTTAAAATCTTGGAGTGAGTCCACAGCAATCCTAGTGATACTCACGTTTGCGTAGCGCAAAAATCTTGCTAAGCGAAGCGGTCAAATAGATTGACCATTTAGAGAGACCTAGGGTGCGGAGCTGAAGCACTGAAATATACGTTTCATGAGGGACGGACTGGTTTCCGAGCCCCGTTCTTGCCTCCAAGGGAACGCAACATCACCGAATGCTCTAGCTATGTGTAGCCCTGGGAAGAGTCAATATGTATGACACGACTTAGCAACACTGCGCTTGAGGCATGGAAGAAAGCAAAAGAGCGAGCGATTTGGGCGAGGTCTTTCAAGAAACATCGAGGGTAGCAAAGAAGCCAAGAACACTAGGAACCATGCTCCCACGGCTGTTCTGAGTTCTGCGATCTTCCCCACTTTCAGTTCAACATACGCCTCGTGAAAACCGGACGAAAGCTAGGACGAAATGCGTTAGAGTCACTCCAACGGGCCACGATAAGGGCGATGCTCGGAGTTTTCCCGCTACAAACCAAGTCGAGAAGGGGAATCGCGGAGCTTCGCAGCACGCTGACATCGAAGACAGAGACGCCGCCGCCGCATCTGCCAAAGTTTCGAAACCAAGAATTCAGGTGGCCGGGAGACTCGTCATGCGTTTCGTGGACGACCGCTGAGCCAGAGCGATTACCGACTGGATTCCGCAAGATGCCAAGCGAACCTGCGCGATGGTCAGACTTCTTCGTGAAAGCTCTGAAACGAATGGTATGAAGTTCATCGTGTCCCTCGAGCAGAGAGAGAGTCCATTGGGCAACTCTTTGCACAACTCTTCCACGTTGAAGGGACGAATGGAGACGTAACTTGCGCCCGCTCGAGGAACTGATGACTCATCGGAAAAGCACAAAGGTGATACAGAGGTGAGCATCAGATAGCTTGAGTCGAAGCAAAGATGAGTTGATGAATTCAGACATTCACAGAGATACGTAACACAAGCCATCTATCCACAACAGCTCAGTCAAATATAAAATTCCGGGAAAATCCGGCTCATGAAGGATATGACACACCATGAGTGTCATGGTCGGGAGGGGGTGAGCTGCCCCTCTGATAAATTCTTTTATAAACTATTTGTGTGCGTTCTTTCAACACATTTTCGAACCACCTGATGAACAACTGCTGGAGGACGATGTACTGAACCCCATGTCATTTTGTTTTCACAATGACTAAGCGTTCTGCTCCCTGTAAGAAGAGTGCAATGCATACGTCACCTGACCGCTGGAACTATTCGATTAAGAAACCACGAGTCTAATATAGTGACGGTGAGAACATGTACCACTCGACCAACTGAAATGCCCAAATTATACACACCATTACACTTATTTCAAAACGAGAGCTCTTCTAGGGTTCGAAGAAAACGGAGTTGAATAAAACCTGGAGGTGATAAGAGATGCACTCGTGGTGGCAAGACATTCCGCTTATCATTTACGACTGCGACAGGAAGTTCATCGCACTGCTGCATGGGCAGGCTAGAAAATGACCTCAGAAAGAGTCGTAAAACTCTTCGTTGGAAACAAGGAAAATCTCTAAAACATTTTATTTCGAGGCCGATCACTACTGACAACCTGGACCCACTCATATGGCAGTGAATTGTCTATCATGACCTCCATAACAGTCTGAGGACTTTCCTTGAAGGCAATGTGCACGATGGCTAGAGGCAGGCGGTTGTCGCGAACGTAACTGGTGTAAATGCTGAGTGGGGTGTAGCGAAACGCCCGCAGCCCTTCTACCAATGACAGTGGCGACAGCCACCCACCCCCACACATCGTGCCCACTGTCTTTAAAGATATATTTCTGACAAATCAGCTACTAACCACACTAGCATCAAGTTGGTGACCGTAAGCCCTCAAGAAGTGAGGGACGAAACCCCATAACCGTTGTCAAAATTCACAAACAGAGCATTCACAAATAGAGCATTCCCTGTAAGACGTGTGCACAGAGAGAGAATCAAAGAACCAGAGTCAGGTGACCAGACCTCTCACCGCCTGAGCCGCGTTCATACTTTGCGGCAGACGCGCGACTGCCACCATCAAGAAGCAGACCATCGGTAAGAGGAGCGAAAACCAAGATGAAATAGAAAATGAAGAGAAACAGGACCGCATCCGAAGCCATAGTCGGAATGAACGCTGTACGATCTACGTAAGCCCGAAAATATAAAAAGTGTTTTTTCAAAAATGTCACAATTCAAAAAATAAAACGAAATAACTGGGACGGCTCGTATTCTTGAAATTCAAATAAGTAAAGAATTTGCCATACAATAGCAAATTGACGCTCACACGTCTATTAGCAAGAGCAAAACAACAATGCCAATTAGGAAACAATTTATTCTGAAAAATGAACAATAAATAAGCAATAATCTCTAATTTGAGGAGAACACAAATGTCCGCAATGACGCGTCATTGAAATTATCACAAAAGATAAGCACATAATGTTCTATGAAACATTGAAAAGGTCTAGGCGCTACTGTATATGAGGACACTACCCGTCGGCTTGGGCTCGACTACCAAAGAGGGTCTTTCAGGTCATGAAGCGCTTTTTTGGACCCGATTTTCTCAAGTTGTAGATGTACATGCATGAGGGAAAGAAGCATAGTTCACCTTTCCTGCGAGCTTCTGAGAATGTCATGAACAGATGAAACAAGGTTCTGCGAGTTCATGACGAATTAAAAAATGAGAAGGATTTTTGTTCTCTAAACAAAAGGCTCGGGTGTTCATGGTTAGGATTCCGTTCAGAAGAAGTCTTCGTATACGCCACAAGAAAATTGAAATCACAGTACTGCAAAATTTTGACGAGAAATTTGAACAACAAACCTATTAACAACCTTTTACCGGGCATTCCCCGAAGAGCGCAGGAAAAGTGAAATGTACGTCTGTTGCCCACGTATGTTCCCCACAACATGCAATAAATTGTTTAGAAAAAGTGCGCCATGACCGTGGCACGTCGTACACTGGGATTCCAGCGAAAGAGGGGTCGTATTTGCTTTCGCGAAAAATGTCTCTGATTGCTGACTTTTCTTGCTTTTTCGCGTCTTATCGACGTTATATAATCCTTACCCCGCTCGATGGTAGTTCTTTGGAGGCAAAAGTGAGAAAGAGAGGACGTTTCAGAGGAAGAACTTTCGAACGGAGGGGGGGGAGGGGGTCGAAACTGCAAAATTGTTCCCCAACGGCAGGACTTGCCGTCGCCATGAGCCTAAATACCCTTCTTCACTCCTCTGCTCCTCTGCGCCCCTGGAAAAAGCCGCGAGGACCCTGGTCATCTGCGCTCTTCCGAGGCTAGGCCTGGGAGGGGAAACGAATCCATTCGCAGACCCGCCGCGTTGGCCCTCAATTACAGTAACGCCAAAAGCAATACAAACACCTCCTCAAGGGGGAAAAATCGACACACTGCACATGTACAGATCACAGTAAACTGCCAACATAAAGGCGAAAAATCGAATTTCAAAAAAAAAGACACCCAGTACCTAAATATTCGCACTCGGGAAAACTTGGAACACGCATTAGTATCACAATAAAAGGATTCAAAGTACAGGAAGCTCTGCTTAACACGTATAGGTACCCGTAACATTTGATTCAAGCAGCCACTGTGGGATTATGGTTACTGACATGACGAGAATGACCCGCACGCCTTTCTTAAGTTGGGGGGGGGCAATGCGTGGTGAATGCGTGGTCGCGATACATCCTGTTTGCAAACGTGTGTTGTAGCCGTCACAGGGCACAGGGACAACAACACAACAAGGACCGTCTCAAAGAAACTTGATGACAGCATTTTGTGGAAAAAATTTCGGGGCCTCAACTTGAAAGGACTTTATTGGCACGTGCAGAAAACAATGAATACCTTAACTGAAAGAAGGGCACGCATTGAACACCAGTTTTTAAACAACTTGAACTGCACCCCCTAGCAAGCTCGGAATTGCTTTTCTACCAGTGAAGCTTGAAATGGCTCCCTGCCCGCACCAAGACACCAACTATCTTTGAATGGTCCACTTTACCTTACCATTCCGTACTTTGCCCCTCTTATGCCGCTGATGGTGAGCATTGTAGGGCTTCTTTATGAAACCGCTTCAAGTGACGATTATAGTTGAACATCTTGTTTGTACGGAAAGGGCACAGGGCACACACCAGGGAGCCAGACAAATTCGATTGTCTTAGTACGTGCTTCGTCTTCACGCCATGCCTAAAAAGTTGATATTGGAGTGATGAACGATACCGTGATAGATGCTCGACAAGTACAACTTCATTTTAACAAATATCTCAGTGAAAAGAAATTACTACACAGCTCAATTTTATGCGCAGTCTGGCTTAGAGGGGCATTTTTACTTTCATTAGTTCCTCTTGTTAGTTCATGTTGAGTAACAGGCCTCATTTCGAGGAGACTGTAAAGTCCTGTGAAGCTGCGAAATGGAAGCATTGCGCCACTCTGATAACAATCCTAGCAAGTGGTGCTCCCACCAAGCCGAACTGCGCCTCGATTTTGTTTCAAATATTGTGAAGCTGCACTCTGTCACGGTCGGAACTTTGCTTTTATTGACTTTAAAGATAAAAATACTCGTAGTTACCTGTAAAGTGCTTTCCGATTGTTGGCTGAAAACCCGCATGTTACGCACACATGACGATTCTCCTTGCCAGTTTCACTCCCTATACGGAACATCTTTGATGGGATACAGTTGGTTTCACCTATCGTATGCAGCGGTTGCCCATCGATATTGTGACTTCGAGCGCCGTTTTCTTCGGAACTTCTTCTGAGGCGACTTGCAGACTCGACAGCACTAATTGATAGTGATTTTG